AGGAAGAATTGGGTTCGTAATTCTACGGTACTATTACACAAAGGGTAAGCAAATGTGTACAACAAACCTCAATTGTTCACGTTCGTGGCGTCAACACGTTCACAAGTCTGTCACTGACCGGCACAGTGCAGTGTCAACGTCCGCACACCAATCAACGGCGAGCGGAATGACGGCTCAGAAGCGTGGGTTGTAGTCGGTCCTTCCGACGACGGTCGCGTGATTCTCATTGGACGTGCGATCACGCGGAGCCCATGTGAAAACATGTCAAGGCAGGCCCAGCAAACGAGACACGAACGCACTTGGTTGAGTAGGTCAGCAGCGCACATTCACGCACAGACACGCATGTCAATGTACAAGTGTCAGAAAGGACGGCCTCTGTGGCAAGGTGAGTGGCGGGTACGAATAAGCAAAACAACCGGAGAACAAAAGTACATAGGCGGAGTAAGCAGATGAATGGGGGAATTATCATAAGATCAAGTTAGATTCAACAGGTGTTATATTGTATCTCACTGACCGGACAGGATGTCGATGAATCCTACTCCATCCCTGAACAGTGATAACTTACGGGATTCGAACATAGTATTCTTGGTTGAGACACGAGGAGTGGTCGTGGAGCAGATGTTACTATGCATACCTGAATTTTAGATAAAAATTTCTCAGCCGTAATACCCTTTCGGTGCCTAGCTGCCATGCCACCCAAGGGAAGCACGAGGGCTGGATACTGCCAGGTTGCCCAAGCCTAAGCGGGAGAAGCCAAGCAGGCGATATCGTAGCAGTTTCCCTTACACTGATCCGACCCTTGACCAGTGACATCATATGAAAACATCACTGTTGTGGCGAAAAACACGATAGTTTTGTTTGAAAGACTTCTGTTCCTGAGTCCATGCGCGGGACCACAAGTAGTAATTACTGATTTAAGTAATGTTGCTTATTTATTAGAAGTGTTCATTATGCTAGATTTCATCACCACAACCTTTGGCAAGGTTTGGCTACAACAGCCGACACACTGACTGGTAGACTCGCTCGTAGGTGCGTGGGCCTATGACGTTATGGTCCTTTTGTGCTCATGCGATGTCACTCGTACGACCCCCTTTATCATAAAATGTCTGTGATCATGCTTAAAACAGGTGTGATTTTTTGGTCGGACGACCCGGCACCACAAATCAAAACAGCGGAATGGAGTTCCTTAAGGTTGTCCAATGGTAACTATTTGCACAGCCCTATGTAGCCTACCATCATGGATCCAATCAGGCAGGTCCAAGACTTCAGTCCGTGATTGTGTCCTAATCTGTCAAATCAGGTCAAGCCATTTCGATAATACCTTTGTGTGCCCGGCGAATTTGAATGGTTTTAATAACCACGAATAATTGTATTCCAGTGCGATGAGGAACAACACCGATGATCAAAGTCAACAACTTATCGCAGCATTTAATTTTGCTATTGTGTATGTCCACTTTCCTCGCTCGGTTGACCACCGATGGTAGCATCGCCTGGTACCTGTGCAAGGCCCTTTCAAATTTCCAGTGGTGGAAAACAGATTGCATGTGGATTGCAGGCTGGATTGAGGTAGGGTGAATCTGACCACGATGTGACTAATGTTCATTCAGTAGTCAGTCTTCACGGCCACCAGTCCGTGTTCAATCTAAGCTCATTCGCATACAAGCTCCCAATTTTTTGCAAGTGATGTGTTACATCCAGCAAAAGATGCCCACGTAAAGACACATTATCCTTTTTAAAGGTCTTTAGAATTGTGCGACCGTGTTCACTACGTTCTGTTTCATTTGCACAGTTTACCAAACTTAAGTGGTTACCTTGACAACGAATTCACGTAGGATTTACAGACTGGGCCTATTTTCGGGGTGCCTCTTATTTGGAGGTCTGCTGTTAAGATTTTAATTCTTCTGGCCGAAACTTATCGCGTTTTTACCATTGTGACTGAAAATCCTGGTCATAATTTGGGCAACTCAAAACCGCAGTGTCCAAAACTCAGATCCTTTGCTATTCTTTTCGTGAAAGTAAGAAATGAATAAAACGCAAATCCCGCCCAGGTCGACTAGTTGCTACTGGATGATTAGGTTGGATATCCAGCAGGTTAGTTGTTGTGACGCCGTACCTACAGAATGCCGAAAAATTCTGAACACCCCAAAAGGCGCTCGGTAGCACACTGCTGGATTTTTTGTTGTCTATTCCAAACGCAAAGCGAAATAAATTAGCCCGGCAAGCAAGCTATGACCTTAATTCAGCGAGTGTTATTTGCGTTCTTTGTTCCACCAATTACATGTGCTTTGTTTATCTAGTCCACTCGGGTGTGTTGAGTTTTCGTCACACTCAAATTACCTGTGGCACTGTTGTTGTCGCTCTTGCTCATGCTGTTTTCCACCCACTGCCAATGAGGTGTGCTGCCAATCGTCTACACAATTCGCGCACGCTACATATGCATTCTAAACGAGCCAGTTGGAATCGTGGCTATGTGTGTTGTGTGGACAACCTGTAGTTTGTCTACGGCCTAACTGAAAATACTTTGTTCTCTTGTAACTTTCTGTTGATTGTTTACTCGCAGTACCGGAATCGGTGTGATTGTTTTTCTGCGGAGTTATCTTTATGGTTTTGTCCTAGGGAATGAGGTCACTGGCGATCCTCTTAATTGTACACAACTCAAGACGACCTCATATTCCCATGCTTGAACAGATTTCCAGGTATAGTACCGGTCTCTCAACGATTGTAATCGTGGACAGATATCCCAGTGACTTTGTCTCGGTTTCCTCTTCGGCACCATGTTTCCATATTCCGTTCCAGGCTATTAATCGTTTTACATCAGTTTATTATCACAGTCTGCTGTGCTTATCGACCCGGTTTTCATGAAGTTGCAAGTGGTAGATCAGATTAAAGTTTGCTATTATTTCTTTGCAAGTCTGCTTTCCCTTTTCCTTTATTAATTTTGAATGTGAATATTTCCGCACCAGTCTTTGTCCGTTTGCTCTCGAAACAATAGCTAGCGGTGTTGTGCACCTCTATTATTCCGTGCTCCGATTTCCCCATTCGCTTTACAACCCTCTCAACCGTGAATGAACTACATCCGGTTTATCTGACTATTGATCATTATGTTGTGGCTAGCTCTCATCCTATTCACCAACTTGTATCATTCATTCGTGAACGTCTGCTTTCCTAGTTACTCCCCCCCCCCAGAAATGCACGTGATGTATTTTTTAGAGACCTAGCTTCCGTCCTGATTTCTAGTGTCTCTTAAGTTGACTTCCCAAAGACACGTTTAGTTTATTGTAATACCACTGATTTTCTGTCCACTTCGTATTTCATACGTGTGACACAGTGCCTATTGACTTAAGATTCATTTTTTAGATTTGATGCAAAGCTGATGTGTTAGGTTTCACTCACTTCGTCAATTTTGAGGGTCTGTTAAGACCAACCATTTTGAGTGATATCCATCCTTTAAGTGATCTGTTTACTAGATGCACTAGTTTTCTGTCAGTGTTCTGTTTTTGGTTGAGAAGTTAACTGTTCCAACTCCGATTATTTATGTGCTTCTGTCGGTTCCACTACAGCGCACCTCCTTAGTTTTTATTGGACCCTGGTTTTCATATACAGGAGTAATCCAGAAAAAGGACCACCACTAGGAAAGAGAGGGTATTTGGCTTCCCTTGACAGTGGTCACACGATTAAGGAAATTGTATCATCAGGCGGAGTGGCCTGTCTCTCTCTGGAGAAAGAATTACCTCCAGTGGTTCAAGTGGATAGTTATGTTATGATGCGAGACCATGGCTATGGTCTGCTTCTGTCTAGGTTCAGTCTGAATATTTTAATTAACGTCTCCCCGGTTCTTTTCTACCACAATAATGAAGGCCCCGTCTCTTTCGGTCTTATGGTCGTTCTCACATTGATTTGGGGTGATCCTTTCCATGTGTTTTTGTTGCAGACGACAACTGTTCACATATGTGCTGTTCAGCACTGTTAGGCCTCCTGGCAGCCGTAGGTATAAGCAAAAGAGGGACAGTGTGTGAGGCCCCGCTTAACACTCGGACACCTGTGCTGACTCAGTGTTGCTGGAATCTCATCGATTACCTATTATCGGCTTTATTCTTTTTGGGCCTTATCAGGTAGACATAGTCTACGAGTTCTCGTAACTGGTTTTTCCTATCCGGGCACCGTTTTGTACGTGCGTGGAGTTTTGCATGCATTTGGTGTACACCGGCGTCCCACTTGAGTATCAACTGAATCTCCTGTTTACAGTTGTTCAGGTGAGAGGTCAATTTGAAGGAAACACGGAGATTACGCGTACCTAATGAGTCTGAGGGAGAGAAAAAACTCCGAGGGTGGCCTGGTGAAGGTTTTTCAGCAACGTTGTATAAATAGTCTTAGGTCAAGAAAAGCACTTCGATATCTTGAAATTGTTGCAGCTGAACCTGCAGACGGTCATTGTGCTGCATATTCAGTTGGCGTATATCGTAAACTAGCGTATAACTCCACCTGTGATGAGCGTTTTGCGCAAATACCCACTTGGTCGGGCCAAATGGGACACAAGCATCACGTTGATGTGTTCGGCTTACTAGCAACTCCCACCCGGCCGAACTACATTGGCTTCATATAGCTCAGGCAGTTCCAGAACAACAATCCAAGTTGCTCATCCCAACTCGCAAAGCGTTGAGTTCAATAAGGATAGCTGGCGACTCTGGTCATCAGTGGTTCATGAGGTTGCATTGCACGAGATTTTGCACCTCGACGTTAACTCTCAGCGAAATTGTCGGGTCGAAGCACAGTAAAAAGCGGACGGGATATTTTTGAAGCAGCTCATTATATCATTTCGTCCCCATATTTGAATTTCTCTAGGTAATAGACAGGGACCTGCGTGCATCTGTTATCTTTCCCCAACCAAAGATGAGCGTGCGCCTGCTGTCACTGTAGTTGTTAACAAGTCGTACCATTTGTTTGTTGTGGATTTATCTATCACTCAACATGTCTTCACTTCTTCCCTACTTAATTCTCAGGTTGTTTGGTTGGAACAACAGGTGGCCAAAGTTCGTGTGAAACGAGATGTACACATTCCAGTTAACGATCCTCACTGGGCAGATATGTGGTACTTGGTAAGTCTACCTTAGAGTATCATTTTCTGTTGGGTAGTTTTTTTATATAACCAACTTACGCGGTATTTTTTTAGCCAATCTGGCCGATACTGTTAAGGTTATCCCGCCACACACTTTCAATGAAATTTGTGCGAATCAGTCGTAAGTCGGTTAAAAGTATTTCACCTCAAGTTGGCGCACCGCTTCTGCCTGACTTGACTTTTGACGACATCTTCTCGCCTTAACAGGGATGCCTTAACAGCCACTTATTCTATTACTTCTAATCGTTATGCCTAAATAACTTACTTGGCTTAGTTTTTGGTAAGCCACTGCACCAGAGCTCAAGGCGTACCGGTGCGCGTTCTCTCTTTCTACTAGACGTGTACAATGAGGCTGTCACCTCTTTCACCAATTCCTTCACATTTTCCACATACCATGCGATGCCACCAGTTCCCCCCACGGCAGCACCATTCTAGGTCGCCCGAATGTGCACAGTTTATGCATATAACGTTCTTAATAGTTGTCGTGCATCCGGCTACCGGACTGATATCGAGGAAACCGGTCCAGTTGGTGCCGTGACAAACAGAAGGACCACCCCAACGGGTCCAATGAACATAACGCGTACTGTTCGTGTTCACTGATTGCCATTGCGTATACCACATTTTCCTTATGTGCTAGAATTGTTTATTCATAATCCCTTATTTGAACATGAGCGCATAGACTCGTACTCTCTGACACAAAACAGCGAACACCTACCTAATTAGCAACAAATCAATAGCAGCTCCTGGTGTCTAAGTGTCATACAGCCTTGAAGGATAGATGGTTTTAAAATGAAATCAAAATAACATCCAGAGTCACTAATATGGACGGTCAAAAGAAGAAATCATTGTCAGTAACGTAAACGCATTGAGACGTTTCGTGGGAACGGTTTGGCAGCCGCTTCCGTTTCGTATTTTAATGCCACAATCTACTCACTGCAAACATTTTCCCGCCAGGACTTCGGGTAGTAAAGGCTACTTTTCTCAGAATATAATACGAGTTTATGTGGCACTTTCTAAAAGTGTCCTGAACTGAAACCGTATCGCCTTAAGTTTGTGCACGAGAGTGGCTTAGTTCCCATTAACGCGCCATCTCATCACGAATTCACTGCTACCGACGAATTCCCGCACTGCTCCTAATATATCGACCGCCGAACGTGGGTTGGATGCGTCAAACAATGGGGATTCACGATCGACTAGACTTCTTTCACCCTAGAAACTTTGACCTCAGATCCCCTCCCTCAAAGCTGCATGCAATCCCACTGTTCCGTTTTCCAAATTTTTTATTGACCCTATATGCGTGTACAGTGTTGCATCCGTTGGATAGACTGAGTTTTGGTTTACGCGTAACCGTCTTGCTTACTCCCCCTGGACGTGTTCCTAACCAGTCTGGGTTAGCGATTTTCAGCCTGAGTCCCCAAAACCTTGAGGGATATTTCGACGAATATATTAACGTGTGAGATTCATCTGTGTGTTCAATTTACAACCTGTTAAACCTAGCCTACTTTTGTGGCTCCTGTGCAGCCTGCAAACTAGTATGGCAGAGGTTGTTGGGCCGAAACTTGTTCTGGCTTCTACATCTGAAGACGGCCGGCGGTCTGAACTCTTACGGGGGCAGCCTTGGTGCATTGAACACGTTTCTTTGTTTTTGTGAACCTATCCGTTTAATTTGGATGCTTCAGATTTGATTACCGTAGCCTCGAAATAAAAGAATAGATTCGAATGGAATATACTGTGCATTTTGCACGTTCCAACACTGCTACTAACTGATGGGAGGCGGTTTCCTTGATTCAAGTTAGCGCGTTGTTGAAGTGTTTTGATCTGTACAGTTGCAGCCCTGCGAGATTACTCTTTTTCTGAGTTAAGTGACTGTTTCCGGTAGGCTGCCTCGCTACAATAAACTTTCCTTGGGGTTCAACTCGCTAGTTTGTTGCTACCAGGCGTAGAATAGTTTTTCAAAAACTTACTGCCCTTTGAAAAGTGTTGCAGGTTTGTGCATATCTACTTTTGCGAACTACGCTTTGCCACATCAAAGTTTATGAAATTTGGTTGAAAATCCCCGTTTTTTATGGTTTTACAGTTCTAGATTTGCTTTCCCTTATTTTGATAGATTTGCCTCAATGAATACCCCATTCAAACTACTGCAAAATGGTTGAAACACTATAGACGAGATTGTCATTAACACGTTTGTGAAGTCAAGCATAGCTGTGTCTTCCAAGGGCGTGCTACCAAACAGGGTATGCTTCTGAGACGAGGAAAGACCGGTCCGGTCTCAGATTTTTTCGCACTATCAGAGGAAGAGAAGATCACCTCTTAAGAAGTGGGGTTTCAGGAGCAGGATAGCTCAGTCACTCAGCTTGAAATGTTTTTGTGAATGTGCCAACCCATACCCAAAACCACCGCTTCATCTGCTCAGCGAAGGGAACAATGATGGGAATCTTCGCGGAAACTGTTGGTTCGGATGCTGATATATATATATATATATAATCAGTAACGCCGTTAAAACAGTATCGCTTTATTGTGATTCCCGTAGTGTCGTCATTGGCGACAAGAATCACCTCCCCACATGACGCATAGTAGGGCACTTTTTCAGAAATACATCTCATTATGATCAAGACTATTCTGCTTTATTAGGTGGCCGATCTTCCGTATTATATACTAGTGCCATGCCTCCCATGATTTCAATGGGTGTTCTTACGAAACATCCTATTTTATCTACTTCTTCACCTCGTGGAATACATGAACTAACCGACATTAGATATATCTTCAGTGGGACCCCCCCCACGGTGGACACTAGTTGAGGATATCTTTCTTCACGGTAACGGAAGAGAATGTCGCTCAGTTGTTGCCTACCTCTAGAGGACGAGGCGGTTTTTACTATTTTAGTATACTGTGGGTCATGCTAGTTGGCCAGCGACAGGCTGTTAGAAATCGCTGAAGAACCAAACCATTTTCCCAGGGTGGTGGTGTCCTAAGGATCAAAACCCAATAAAAGATAGCGTACGCTGAAAGAATTTTGCGCTTTTCATTTGCTTATACCCTTAGTATCGAGTGTATGCTCTCTTCGAGGGGAATACCTTATATCAATGTCACCCCTCAATCATTGTCGAAAGTGGGTTCCACAACTGGAATCTTTTTTGGCGGCATGCTTCACAGGTTTCATTCATATTGTTTTCGCGGTCACGCGAGCACCTGCTAATTAACTTCAAGCTTTCACGATCCTATATATATAGAACAGAACGGAAAAACCTCACTGTGTTCATTTTCAACAGGCATTAAGTTAGCGACAATCCTGATACCATCTAGTCACTTGTAATGTCGTTTGACTGAAACCTCTTACTCAACTTCACAATAAGATGTTTTGTTAATAAAATGTCCTTAATGTCCCAAGATGAGCAGTTGAGGATGATCTGAAATTAATTGGACTTGTGAAACGTGGTAGCAAGCCCGACTTTATAGGATTGTGAATTAGCATTCTCACCGTATAAGGTTACTGGAGTTTTTCGAGGTCCTCTATAACTAGGTGTTTTATAACTCAACTGCACGGATTATCCTACATGCGTGATCGCTTTTATGTTTACGGTTATGTTAGATTTAAGTCTGGTCTGCATCATGGTGGGATGATGCGTCTACGTTAGGATTTCCGGTTTTGTTCGGTGAAGTAATCTATTCGATTACTAAAATTGGTATAAAGAGCCAAAGTGAACCGTCTTCCGGCAGCAACAGTCATTGATGGTCTCGATTTCAGCTAGTGCACTGGAGACGTCCCGCGTTGCACAAACACCATACACGAATGGTATTGACTTTCCACAACCTATTCCTGAGGCACGCATAGCTTAGATAGTCCCGGATATTTTAAAGCAAATGGCAATACAAAAAAAAAACTGGCAGATCCAAGTTGCACACTCCTTCTAGTCCACGCTCGCGAGCCGACACGCCTAATAAGCGGCCGTTTAGGCGAGTTTTAAGTATCCACACCACAGCTAACGGCAATTCGAATCATGGTAGCACGGTAAACCCGTCCTCCTATCCGGAATCTTTCGGATAACTCTGATTGGTGGCGTTAATAGTCGGCTTCTTCATGACCAGCGGAACCTGGGCAAACCGACCAGACGGTCGACCTAACGTGTATAAGTGAGCAACTGCATCTTCGTATTCACCATCGAAATTACCTTGCTGACCGATCCAGTGACACTGGAATACTCGCTTTCTCTCTACATCCATTTCTGTCGAATGGATCAGTCAGCTTGGAAAAAAGGTGAATACAAAGGCTGCGACAAGGCTGACCTAAAGAGCCAGAACTCGACGAAATTACCGACATTTTAAGTGACTGAACTTGGAGTATTATCAAATTCCCACCAGGAATTCATTTTTTACGGTGCTCTTTGCTACCAGCCTCATAATTTCGAGGCAGATCGAGCCCATGTTCAGTGCTTACTGTTCAAGTATTTATAAGGATTCGTGGGTTTGAATGAAGCGTATTGATTTTGAGTGTATGGTCTGATCATAGCCATGGTGATTGATGTGTTGTCTATCCAAATGGACTCGCCACTTGCATATCGGTTTTCCTTTCGGGTTGTATTCAGCACTCTTCGAATAGCTTTTTATAGAATGACCGCTGTGTGCATCCAGTCCTTCCAGATACGATGAAGCTTTTGTGCCATTACTACCAACAACCGGCAATATTCCCACTTGTCGTGATGATTCTTTGGGATGTATTCAGCCAACTACGCTTTACTAGATTTTCCGTTGATACAGTGAGTGCGCAGGTCGGTCTACCTATTTTTTGGTAGACCCGGTTGTTTTCGTTTTCTCTTCTCTTCAACTACGGCAGATTAGTTTTCCCATGTCAGCTGTCACCGTGTTTGACAAATAATTTTGTCTTCCTTCGCCCCGTTGCGCCGGTACAAAAGCGCTAGCGAAGTCTGTCCGGAAACGAGTTTGCCAAAAGTAAGAAAGTGAGCCATTCGCCACTTTGCTGCCGTAGACATCTATTTTGTAAAAAAGTTTTTGGGCATCGGGCACCGTTAGATGTTACGTTTTCGGGCACAAGTCGTTTTTGGAATCATTCTCTTCCTCTGATTTGGGTGTTTCCTCTTATCAACAGAATCGGGGTGGACCAAATGGATTGGACATGAATGTTCGATCTGCCTGGGCACGTGGCTACGCTGGTCAGGATGTGGTCGTTACCATTTTGGACGACGGGTTGGAGATTGATCACCCGGATCTCAAAGAAAACTATGTATGTTCACATCGTTGCAACAACTTTGTTTGCGGCACCATCCGTCCATTAGTATCTGGGCTTACATGGTCGTTTGTGATTTCTGAACACCGGTAAAATTGAACACAGAAAGCAGTTGAAATCGATAGGTCACTAAATGCTCCTCGCTATGGAGTTGTTTCTCTTGGACCAAAGGATAACACAATGGTATTCATGCACTCATTACACACGTCCTGTTTGTCTTTTGTAAACCAACTTCTTTAATGGGTGAGTTGTATCCTCCTAAGAAGGCACTTTATGTGTCAAACTACAGAACACGCACTGCGCGAATTTTTCAAGAGATTTTCGATTTAATGCCGGAACAACTCTTCCTCATATTCGTTAGCCTTACATGATTGTACCTTAAACAGGCTAATATATTGAAATACTGGGCTCGCATGATGATCAACAGTTCTCGTCGCCCAGACCATTGCAGTTAAGTGTCGCGTATGCCACCGAACCACGTCCCAATGAGGGAGATATAATTTTCGGGAATTTGGCAGATACTGGTTTAACTTACTTTGTTTAGTCTTATTCTCTACATAATTTACTTTCGAGCCTTAGTGCAACTGTGCAACTCCTGTAACAACGACATTGCCTCTCGCCCAACTTAGGTCAGCATCATTGTTGGGTGTTTTTTAATCTATGATGGACATTAATGGCTACCACGGTTCATTACGTATTTCGCCGTCTTGTGGAAAGGAAGCTCCATACAACTTGTTCTTGGAAGGATAAATCATCACCGTGAATATCACGGACGTCGTCGAAGTCCACATAAGAAGATACCGAAATTTCCTAATTACGCGTGAAACGCCAGTAGTTCACATGATAGCGATTGGTAGTGTCCTCTTGTGAGGCGCAGCGACTAAGCTCATGCTACATTCCTTCTAGATAAACCTAAGTAAAAACATAGCATTGCAGACTGATTCGGTTGGACAGCCACAGAATCGTAGTGATTAATGCAGCGAACCCGGGTTAGCTCTATCCCGCAATTTTACTGGGTTTTTACTCTCCTGAGTGAGAACAAAGGAGTGAGGATAGATTCAACACCGTGTCCCCATTTCCCTGATAAGGATTGATTTATTACCTAATAGTGTGAGATAATAACTCGCGGTTGCCGGTTTCTAGAGTTGCTGCTTTTTCATCGCAGCTTGCCGTACACACCATGATTGCGCACTGGCTAATATCAGCTTGGCGGGCAACACGCTAACCGTAAAGGCTTCCTGTCCTTTTCAAATCTGCCTAATAATCCGCTTCTCGAAACATCATTTTCTTTTTAGGTAGCAGTCGTTGATGTGAGACATCCCATCTTACTGCGCTGTAGCTTTTCATTTACTCACGGGGACTGATCGTTGTTACGAAGGGTCTATGGGGAACCGACAACCCTACCACGAGATTTGTTCTACACTTTTTTCCTTATTTTTTCTTTGTTCACTAGATTCTCTCAACCCTTCTAGCCGCTGTTTTCGTTACCTCACTCACTCAGTTTTCTTTCTTCCCATGTGAATGTTAATCAGTATCTGAATGCACCATCATGAGTTTTGCCTATCCCGCCCCTGCTCGCTACATTAGCTAAGATCATAAACAACTCGGTAGTAGCCCATTTTTATGCCCTCGCCTCCAACGTTACAGTGTCACCCGGTGTCAGTTGTTTCCGGTTTCACGCATTGGCTAGTCGGGATAATTGATTTATTTGTTGTGTTCCGTTGTTCGGCTGAATATGTTCGCCGACGCAAAAGCAGAGCATGCAGCTTGCGTGATTCAGTCTGTTTGTCGATGGACGACGAAGATTCCGTGAAAAAACACCCTTTCGAACTGATACACACCGTGTTTCTTCCTCGAGGAGGACTGGCTGACTGTTCTACACGAGGTGTCTACACGTATAAACGATGTTTGCGGTTTAGCCTTCTCATCTAGTATGTAGCATTCTGTTGCATGTTATGGGAAGTAACATGTTGATCTGCGCCGGGATTCCTGAAGCTGAATCTGCACGTGGTTAGTTGGTCCACTGTCGCAGCTTCACCCACACGCGATTCATTCTACTTATCTATCCGCATTACATTGTTCAGGGCGTAACGTGTTGTATCTAGCGTTGTTTTTTAGTGAAAAGCTATTGGAACATGTTTTAAAATTTTGTCTCTTCGTGCATGTTTGCCTATGGATAAAATCAATAGGATGCAATTCTGAAGAGCAGCTTATTTTCGAAAAAATACCGTCGAGATACTTAAGAAACTTTTGTAACAGAGTGTTTGTCAATCTGTAATGGTGAACAAGCAAACATGTATTGGTAGGCAAGTCAATTGCAATGTTCGCGACTCTGGGTCTATGGAACCCGATTGGTGGAGAAGATGACCGAATCGCGACCGTTCCATCAGACGCCAAACCATCGACTTTGAGGTATCGGTCAGACTGTTTTAGATCTCCTGTTTGGGTATGGAACTGTTGAAGGAAACTGTGAAGTAGTTACAATCAAGCCTTGTATTTTTGTGTCCAAAGATGACACTGAAGAGCAAAGGAGTTCACACTGAGGAGGCTACACAACTGGACCCGTGATTCTTACGCTTTATGATATGTGTAGCAGTTTGAGCGTAAACCGTTCCGGGCTACATGTGTTCCTCGATTGCTGTAATTTTGACTGACTTCCGCCGCCCGCCATATTCTCTATCTTCTCCACATTATCAATCTGATAAATATTATGATTTGTTTCTCATACTAAAATCTGAATTCGGTCCTACCCTAGAACCTTGAGCTTAACATCCAGTGTCCCCAATAAGAGAGAATCATTGGATGTTATAACTGAATATTAACATGTGTAGGCGATTCGAGGACCTTTGTTCGAGCCACGTGTTCTTACGTTTGGGGTTTCCTGCACCAGCGGCGTGTTCTTACCGTTCGGGATTCCTTGCACCAGCGGTTTCAGTATCAAGTATAGAAGTATTTAAACACGGGTCTCAATTGAGCTTTATTTGATTGATATGAATAAATTATCCAACTCCCATCCAAGTAAACTGCTCGTATTTTCAATGGCTCATCAGACAGTTCCAGTAAAGTTATTCTTCCACAGTATCGTGCACAAATTTGTTGATATGTTCCCCCTTTAATCACTGGGCTTCAATGAGTTGTCCAGAAAAACAATTACTGGCTCGTTTCGTCCGCATCTATTCGTTTTTTCGAAGGGATATCAGTGAGGTCTAATTGTGCTCCCTCGTATAAGGTAGGGTGTGACACTGTGTTTAAATCTACCGCACCATCCATGCCACACACGCACAATAGGCAGGTAGGTCCTTTCTGTTTGCTATGTTCATATAATGGATAAGCAGACGTCATCGGGGACACCAGTGAGCAATATTGAAAGGAATCTGTCAATAAATAAAGCGCGTGCAACCAACCTGCTTGTCTGTTGTCTGGGACCGTGCGTTTCGATATGGGGTGTATGCACCTAATCTCAATTTTATCACCCACTTTTATTTATTCACCTAGCATTCACGTTTTTATCACAGTTGATCTTGACTTTACATGGTACCGTTTATGTGTGTTTTGATCGCAGATACAGATACAGTAGACGTCCTCGCTTATTTCACACCTTTTTTGGGACACGAACTTGTTTATGGGACCACGTGAAATCGCGGGAATTCCGTGTGCGCTTGTCTTCACCGCGTCAGCGCTCTATATGTTCCGAATTTCGTTTAACAATGATATTTTCCTTTTTTGAGCTAAATGGGTTATTTCATCCTTCTTCATATTGTTCTCAACAGGATATCTTCTAGGCCTCCTATTTTGTGATGTTTCTACGACCTCAGGTCTTGAGTCCGCCTATTCAAACTATAGAACTTTTGTGCAGTATTCCCTGATTTGTTGGTAGTGTGAGGGGACTAGGGATTTTTGTGGAGATTTTGTCCTGTAAGTGAAGCCACTCGTGGCGAACGGTTGAGTAAGTGAAGCCACTCGTGGCCGAACGGTTGAATGTTCAAACTACTAGCCGGGAGGTCGCGGGTTCCAGACTCTTCGGAGTTTCGTGAGATGCGCACTGCTCATGATTCCCAATAAGAATGAAACAGCTGCACAATGCTTCTCGGCTTTTCAGCATAGATTGGCTTCACTTACAGGACGAAATTTCCACAAAAATTTCCTGATTTATTCTTCGTGAAGTCAACCATTAGTACTGAAATCTACAATGATGTTCGCGCCGAATCGAGTCCCACCAATCAGCTGCGCTCGGTTATTTGGATGTGTCTGGTACATTTCTCCCTTATTTTCTAGATAAATTCAACGGACTCGTGATGTGCCTTACACCCTTTGCTTTGCAAAAACAACACTGTTCACTATCAATCCTCACGGACGACCTAATACGTGTACGTCCCTAATGGCTGGTGGTACGTTCGGACGGTGGTATTCGTATTGTAATATCTGAGTAGATTGGCGGGCCGTTGTAGCCCTACAACATCTACTTGAATTAAGATCCTTTAGCAAAGGAGTGGGTTCCTTACACACTGCCTTGCCGCACTTCTCGTAGTATGAATGCATATGACTCTGTGGTGCCGCCGGAAGAATCGTGGGATGCGCAAGATACATTGCGATTTGCGCAATAATATGCTTTTGGGGTTTACTAAAAAATCAGATAATCGTTCGGCTGTACCACTCTTTCGGTGCTTAGCTACCATGCCACCGGAAGCAAGCGCCAGGTTGCCCAAGCCTAGACAGGAGATGTCGAGATGCTAGGTCGGGTTTCGAACCACCGACCTTCCGGTCAGTAATTCTGCGCTCTAACCACTGAGTCATTGGGCTGAAGTTTTCCCATTGGTCATTTCGGAGCACAGTAAATGTAGTTGGAATGACCAACCGAGGCATTTAATCAGTCCTCTTATATATATTCTAAGGGCATCAGTTATCTTATCGGGGGTTGGCATGCCAGGTCTTGGAAGGCCCTCACTGTGAAGGTCACGTAATCTACGCAGACATGTGTTGTTCGCACATACAGTATCTTTATATTCACATTAGTGGATTGGTGTTTTATGATATTTTTTCGCGATTAGTGTACTATATGCCGATCCCAATTCTGCTGAACTACTCGGCCACAATATTAGCAAATGATGTTCTGACGTATATGCACTCCGTCGTCGGTACAGTGTTTGTACGTACCTCCAGATTTGGATATTGTTGTTCTTATTTGCCTCAGGATCCATTTGCCTCATACGATGTCAACGGGAATGACGCCAATCCCGAACCGCGTTATCCTTCGAGTGACAAAAATCCGGCCTCCAAGTAAGCGCGTGTATTTTTGTTCATCATGATGGTTATTTTAGGTCACCAATCAACTATCGTCTTAACACGACTTTTCACCTTCTACAGAAGTGCGCCCAGATATTTTCGGCAGCAAAGCCAGAGAACCTCAGGGTTTTAGGAACGTGTTCGAATGTGATAGCGTTCAATTACTATAACCGGGAGATAAGTGCTCCTCTGATGAATGGTTTACTGCACACTAGATTCCGGTGATAAGTAAAATTATTTCCGATACGGAAACTGCATACGGCTTTCCATTTTCATGGGTTCGATTGCTTGTGATGCGTTATGACTCAATTTGAGGTAGATTTTCACACACACCCTTCGGCCCACTACTGGCCAGGGGTAGTTGACCATTCGATCTACTGGTTTTCGAGTCACATACTGAATGTCTCACGGAACCTATTAACGGACGGCTCATGATGTGCCATTGGATTTGTCGAATACTATTTTACTAGCTATTAAAAACGATCCTAGCGAAATACAATCATTTGCAAACCAATTTGGTTTTCCGGGAGACTCACCTGGAGCCCAGCTGAATCTATGTGGACTGCAATACAATGTAATGGGGATATCTCGAATATCGTACCAACTAAAGCATGAAACGGCCTGGTACAGCCTGTTAGTTGAGAAGAACACCATAAACGAGATATTCAGTTAGGTTCCAGGTACATCTCCCGTCAAAACCAAATTGGTGTCCTGATGAGTGTACTGGCCGAATGTTTGCAGTTTAGATTCAAGTGGAACCTAAGGTTGGTGGAAACTGAAAAACTCCGCCTACCTGCTGATCCTCAAAAAAGACGAAACTGGTCTTGGGCTGTCGAAGAGCTTTCGAAAACCTTATTCGTAGTGCATTACGTCTATACAATATTCATTTTTGTTTTTGGACTTAGCTACTTGAACGTTTGTGGTCGTTGGTTTGTTCGCTGAACTGGGCAGTTTGATTGCAAACTCTTAATCACCAATCGAGGTGGCATCATCAGTGCGTTGTTAGGGAGCGTAGTGGTACTCAGCGATGGGTTGGTGGTTGTGCCGTTTTTGATTCACTCCTTTGTCCTTACAACGGTTGCGCATATACGCAAGAATTGGAACAGTATTCGCGATTTTAATAACAGTTAATAGAAGCTTGGGCGAGGACTCAGTGAACCTCAAAGTCTCGAACCAACATCTTGCTCCTCCAGCGATCAAAGTGGATGAAAATAAGGACAACAACTTCACGTCTTGTCTGTGCCTCGATTCCCCGGGAAATTCAAACACCGTAGCCTATTTTAAGGTTAGAGCCGAGCAGGCTACATTCCAGGCCAACGCCTCGACAAAGCGAATTCTTAATTTTGCTTCGCGTTACGCCTAACCTTTTGTTCTCCTATGTGGTATATTAGGCGACAGTAATTAGCTTGTGCTAGTTGTTATTCGCTCCCACCGCAATGAAAACCACTATTTAGCTACCAGGCAGTGTATGAGAAAAATGTAGCATCTGGCTCTCGACTTACAAGTAACTTTCTAAGTACTGGCACGGTTCCGTGGTGAACTGCGGACATAGTAGACAGAATGAAGGGCACAGCGAACAGGCTCCAATTTCTGTTGTCATCACTGATATATACGAAAATCTATACAAGTCAAAGAAATGGGACAGAACCAAACCACAAGAAAGTTTGACGGCATCTTTCACGATGTGATCTCTAATCTCTTTCTTGAGGTTTTAATGCTTTCAAATAGCCATGTTCTACTGCATCGTCCATTTTTCCGCTCTTTTTTCCAATCACCTAGTGGTGCTAGGATTTATACGCTAAAAGGTATGGGTCCTCTCAATTAAGAAAATTCGAAATTGCACAGCGTAGCTGAGTTGCCGCAGCGTCTTAGTTATCATGGGTTCTCATTCGCTATCTGCAGCGACGAAAATACAGAACAGCTTGAGTTTAAATTTTTGGCTGGTCAGAGTTTAGCAAGTACATGTCGAAATCCTTCGTGTCCTCGCGGGTTGGTGATTATCTTGCAAAATGTCTGTTTTATACTGTTTTTCCGGATATTCTGTCCGTTTAGTTGTATGTTCAGCCAAGTGCCCGTGTGTTACGTCGCAGGCTGTGGATCGAAAGAACGCTTCTCTAACTGAGTTCATTGCTCGCTGCTTCGTTCCACGGACTGTGCACTGTATGTACAGTTTTATTCTCAAATCGTGTCTGATTTTTCTATCCTGGGCTGCTACGTGTCCTAGCTTTTGGTTCACACCAAATCGTGGTTGTCCGGCAACTGGATCTAGGCGCTCTCTTCAATCATTGTTTTGCTTTGCGTGTCCGTTGTAATCGTGCGTGAACTTTTTCATGGACTGCTGTCCGTGTTCACACCTTACATGTTAACGCCAGTCGAACTGCGTAGTCTGTATGTGTAAACCACTTACTACCCAATCTTTTTTGCTGTACAGAAAGGACAGCAGTAGATGCTTTCGGTGTTTCACGCGTTCTGTGGTTTGCCAGTTTTAGGGGCGACTAATTCCCTTTCACAAGAGCTTGGTAAACAATCGGTAGTTTTTATTTGGGCAACGTTTCGCTTTTGACACAAAAGCTTCATCAGGCCAAGTGAACAGGTCACAAAATTGGCCAGGTTATAAGACAGACGGGGAACCAATCAGTAAGTTCTCTTCAGACTAAATCAGTGTTGAGTGTCAATTAACGGCTCTTGTCGGCTAGTGTGGGTGCCAAAATCTTGAATCGGTGTGTTGGAGGGTTCCAAATTAGTTCCGATCGCTTTTCGTTCCTTAATCTTCCTTCCACTTCAGTGTTTCACTTGATGATTCGCCTCGGGTGCCGCTGTTAGATTTTCCTTAGTCTTTGTGGGGTTGTGAGTGTTCCGACAATTTAGTTTGAGGGGGGTTGAGGTCAAGTGGAATCCAAATGATGACTACTCTTCCTACGGATGACCGCACACCAACACGTGTCAGCTCGAGTGACCCAAGACCGTTCTCCACACGCTAGCCATTTCTACGCCTTCCATTCTGTTGACGCTGGGATGCTTGGCGATTTCTACCGCCTCGGCGATCAGTCTGTGTGACGTGGACCGTAGTCCTCGCCTCAAAACCTCAACATTTTCTAAATCTATTTTGTGTCCTGTGTCTAGTGCGTGTTCCGCAATCGCCGAGTCTTTCAGTAACGCTTGATATTCATCTGCGTTCCACTATTCAATGATACTATGTTTCTCGGAGGCATCAAATGTTAATAAACGTCCGCACTGCTTCATTTTATCATAATTTGATGGTGAGACTTCGTGTGTGGATGCCACTAAGCGACATTCTCATTCCGCCCGTATCTTCTGTTTGGTCATCCGTCCAATTACTCGGTTGCAGTTTTTTGTGGGGTTCATTTATGGCATTCCTTGACCTCCGAAAGACGTCCGTAACTTACTCGCAATTGGTTTTATCGGCGTTTACCCGATGTTCCAACGTCTTTTGCATTAGTTTGTGTGGTTGACCAGGAACTGTTTACGGGCTTCACTATGCGCGCACTGAATGCATGTTTTCTGTGTGTGCTTGTTGGGGGAGGCACACTTTGACATTGCGAAGTGCGTTAACTGAACAAGCTTAACTGTTGCAGTTCTGTTAGGACACTTTTTCATGCACACCATTTAGTTTGTTCCGTGGCGAAGAGTAGACTCCGGGTGGTATAGCGCATAACCTACGCTCAATAAGGCTTCAACAAGCGACTCAATTCTGTTAGGTTTTAAGGTTTTATCGCAACGAATCCCCAGCTTCGTAACTTATGGATGTCTGGTCGGGGTAACAATGTCACAGTCAATAATTTTTTAACGGGGTAGACTTTATGTCTCGTTTTGTTGATGTGGTTCACTCCCTGTGTGTTCCCATGGGAATGCCACATAGGAAGGGACACCTACTAAGAGACACTATTGCAACAGATACATGAATGGTTGATTCAAAATCCAACGCATTTTTGACCTCAGGTCCATTGTGTTTTATTTATGGGCAGGGAAGCGGATGGGTAAAAATCCGCGTTACCACACTCGTCTCATTCGTACCGACTCATCTTTTTCGTTAGAGTAATTGAACCGACTTCACCGCACCGTTAATGCAGTGCCTCATCCCAATCGCTTTTCAAGTGATGGCAGTTAAGATCCCAATTCGGCGACGTTTGGAGAATCGCCTAAAATGGAACTATATTGTAGAGTGCTAGTTTTAAGTTTCTTTTTTATCGGCGGGTGACAGTTATCGTGTTGTGTCCAAATCTCTTCAATTCCGATACACAGTAGTTGTTAGAGGTTGTTTGTCATCCTTATGTGTGAGCATAGGTTGTCAAATGACCTACCGAAACCTCCGTACAAGGCCAAACTCTTCTCCTAGAGGAAAACAAAATTGTGTGCGAACGCTGTCATCTATTCAGACCTGATCGCCTGTGAATTGTGGTGCGACTGTGTATCAAGAATAACTGGATAGTCAAATTTATTAAAACGGTGAAGGAGCATGTTTAAAGCCCAATATAAGTTCTAGGGTAACCTTTACGTTAAAAATAGGCAACCCCAGAGTGATATGTCAATAATAATCGGTGCCAATGAAACTATGTGAATAAGAAAACCACAGATCCAAATCACAACGCAACCGAGCTCTAGTAAATGGCGGGGAATCATTTGGCTCTCATGCGGATCGAAACCGAATCAGATTGTGCCCATTGTTGGTCAGCTCGTGAAATGCCAAGACTGAATGCGATGTCGGTTTATGTCCTGTGGAACGTAGCCGTATTAAACTAATGTAACTAGTCGACGTGATTTGCACAAAATTACATGCTTACATTTCCATAAAGTGAAGCAGCAAGTTGTGAACATATTGGATGTTTCAGAAATTAGGGGGGAACAACAGCCTAATTCTGGACTGCCAACGTGATAAAAATTTTGTCGTCCGAATGTTAACAGCCAGCTGGTAGGATACTTCAGTTTTGTGACCGTGAATCCACAGTGTATTGCCAATACTTTGTTTAGTGTGG